CCGAGGCTACTGAACTTTTCACAATCGATATACAAAATTCAAATCTGCCAAACAACTATTTGAACAAATAACAAATGTTCAGAGTTACTTCTTGTTTCTTTGTTTACATCCGGGACGACTGCTATGTTTTTTCCTGAATTTATGTACCCCCATTTTGGTGCTGTAATCACCATGACGACGCGTTTAACAGAATTGTTCTCCCTATCTACGCATATTAGGCTGATGTTTATTCCATATAACATCAACATTCACCGTAGAATGTTTATCCCCAGAATCATGATATACAAAATTCAAATCTGCCAAACAACTATTTGAACAAATAACAAATGTTCAGAGTTACTTCTTGTTTCTTTGTTTACATCCGGGACGACTGCTATGTTTTTTCCTGAATTTATGTACCCCCATTTTGGTGCTGTAATCACCATGACGACGCGTTTAACAGAATTGTTCTCCCTATCTACGCATATTAGGCTGATGTTTATTCCATATAACATCAACATTCACCGTAGAATGTTTATCCCCAGAATCATAGTAACCAGAGATATGGAAACCGCTTGTTTCCCTAGCAAAATACACCCGCGGGTTCATCCAATTGCTCCCTCCTCCCAGCTCAGTTTATTCGTTTCGCTTCACTTAACATTTACATTAGATGTTGGCACATTTCTTCTTGTCAAATCAACAACAAAACAACACCCAAACAACGACTGGAAAAACCCGGGCGAGCATTTATAAGTCACAGCGTTTTGCAATTTCGTTCCCCATCGAACTCGGACATGTACAACCGGGTAATCGGCTTTTTCATATTGTCAATCGGTGGATCACTAATGTTCCTGGTGGGCTCGAACAAACACAATGACTCAACCCCAGTATTGGTCACTCACACGAAAAGTGAATACTGCAAGGCACACACACATTGCCTGTTGGTGGGTCAGGCTAAAAACATGTCTGGCTATATGCTTGGGAGAGAACTGAAACAGTTTGTTACGTTAAATAAACTTAAAAGCCCAGTTTGGATCAATCTACATTCACTTCTGCATTCGACCAGTGCTCTCGGTCAGCAGAACTGGATTTACGGTGAAATGGCACCCCCAAATGTGATGTACGCTTTGAAGGAACTGCCTATGACCAGACAATTTAGTGTGTTTGATCGCGTCGCGATTGTCACCACTGACGGGCACACGATCAGGACCAATACAGACAAGAAACAGTACGGATTCGTTTGTGGATATCGGGACTACATTCAAACCAATAGGCTACTAGTTCAAACTGAACTATTTCTCACGGACCCTCCACACAAGGAAGTGAACTTTCACGCCACTTCAGATGACACACAGGGCTGCTTTGAATATCACTTGCACATCACAATGATAGCATGCGCTTTGAAGTGAGTTCTTCCACTCCCACTCCACTCCATCTGCTCCCCCCAACCCCCATTCTCGGCCACGAACCATCACTGACACCAGTTTCCATTGTTGCCCGAAGTCAAACGGGTAAACATAAATCTATGTTCACGCAGTCCAATAAACATTCACTCGGCACGATAATTTTATTTACTTGTTCAAGAAACCGCTTTAGTCATATAGGTGTTTGGCTATAGCTCACTAACTTTTATTGCCCATCTTCAGAAAGTTTTTTAAGTTCGTTGAACAGCAGCCTCGGTAAGTGCCATACAGGAATCTGATTGATCCGTAGGAGTTAGTTGATACAAGTATTACCCAAACTCGTGCAACACCCGGACTTTCATCACATTTGTTTCTCCCAACGATTAGGGTTTTCAGTCGCATTCACGCGATCGGACATGATATTGCCCCACTTATCTGCAAGAATATCCACTTATGTCCACTTCTGTTGATCAAATACCATTGAAATGAATAATTTCTCGGTTTGGACGAAATTTTTAGTGCAACAGTTGCAAAATAAAAGTACAGCAAAAAACCCCAACTAGAATTTATTTATCGAAATGACTCATGGACTTCATACAGATTTCGTAATTTCATCTTGTCAAGAACTGAGTCATCGGATTTATGTGCCTCTCGGCTTCGAAAATACGCCAAAATCTCTTGGATGTTGCACTCGGTTCGGGCATGGTGACACTGAAAAACGATTACTCAACGAGCAGCATACCACAAAATCAACTTGTACGCTTCTTGGAATACATTTTTAGTTGTTTCAGTATTAGGGCTAATGCGTTAGTAGTTTGCAGCCACATTATTTGTGAATTTAATTAAGTTAGAATATTTTAGTTAATTGGCTAATTTAATGTGCCCGGAATGAAAAGAGAGTAGCCATAAGAATACGTGCGTTACCCAATAGTAAATATCCTCTAGAAACAGGAATAATTTATTAGAAAAAATGAATTTCCATGCTGCTTTGCATAACCTTTTTTCCAAATCTGAGCTGTTACTTTTGAACTGGTACAAATTTTATCGCGACACTCAAGGTCACGCAAATTCAAACGATGATAGAAGAGAACTAAAAACATAGAAGTTGGAGATAAAGTCAAGAAAGAATATACTTCACCCGTATATATGGATATGCGTGTATGATATTGGAAGCTGAAATGTTTTTCCAAAATGAGAGTGATGTTGTAGGAGTTTGATCAACACCTGCACACTTCATCCCATGTCAGGATTTAGCCATTGATTTGACTAAAGTATTTTTGGGCAATGGGACTCGAACAATGTCCGGTGGCTTTTGATGTGTGTTTGAGTGTGTGTGTGTGTGTGTGATTAGTTGAACGGATTACCTCTTGAATCGCATCTGTTCCACGGAAAGAGAAACTTCGAATTAGGCATACGTATTATTGATGACAACTGCTCATCCTCAAAATGCCTGAAGTTTTTTTGCTGAAATCGCAAAATAATAACTCCTTATTTACCGCGATAAAGTATGTTGGTTTGCTAAAGCGAGTAGTTGGAAAATTTGAACCCACGGTTTTTATCAGCCTACGTTCGACCCCACATAGTGTATGCAATTCAAGCATAGAAGCCTTGACTGCAACGCGATCGGAAGATTCTGGAACGTCCACAAAGAATGGCGACCAAATTGGTCAAGAGACTGCATTCTAAGAATTTCCAAAAGTTAAGCGGACAGACTAGAATCACTGCAACTGTACTCTATACAGTTTCTCCGAAGTCGAGGGGAATTGACCTTGGTACATCAAATAATGCAGAACTAGGATTACTCATGTCGCTTACTATTCGCCTTGTCGCCCAACACTCACCTCAGGGGGCACTCATTGAAATGAGAGCTTCAAAAATATCGACTAAGATGCCGGCATCACCCATTTGTGATCTCAAAAAGTATTATTCGTAATTCTCTACCAGTCAATGTTGTTTCTGAACCTACAATTAGCTCTTTCTAACCCAAACTGGATTAAACTTCGTCAAGTCTTCAATTCCAACATCCGTAGCAGTGAACAAAACAAGGATAATTCGTGGCATTCCTCAACTTTCTATGAACGATAAATGGATCCTTTTGTGTTAAACCCAATGGTAAAAGAAAATCAAGCACATGTTAGTATTTCCCATGATGAAACTTTGAATTTGATCATACAGTACGCATAAAATCCATGGAAGCAGAGCTGCTGAGCAATAACGGAATTCCAGTGATTTCAACCTTCAAATCATGACACATGCTTACCGATCAGGGCTGAGCTGACCCAATCTCATTCGCTCCTTTTCATGCATCATTCAACAACAAAAAATGAATAACACTTTCCCGGTTTTGGTGGTGTCCTTCTCGTAACACCTTTCCTCTCACAAAACAATGATGGATATGATGATGATGATGATAATACTGTCTCATGACATCCAATTGAATGACGGAATACAGTCATAAACTACTCAGTTGCAGAATGTTTCATTTTGTCCCAGTATCAAGATCATTATCGTCGTCGTCGTCGTCGTCATCATCATCATCACCATCAAAAGCTATTTCGCAAGCCAACTGGTTGTCATCCTTAGATGCATGCTCACGTGTGTACTCTCATTGGACCTGACATTTGCTTTGCTTTCGGATGATAAGGCGTCATATCGGATTCGTGGCAGATGTCCGGTGATGATCAACCCCATTTGTTGAGCTCGATCGGTAACCCCTCAGATCATCTCGGATCATCATATTCCGCGCTAAGGTCATCTCACAGTTGGGAGCATGAAAGGAGTGGGTGTTTATGTATCTGTGCCATAGAGCTATCCTGAAGCTGTCCTACAATCGCTGCTGATCCTCTGTGCTTTTATTCAAATGTTTGATAGTAAACGTGCATTTTTGGTATTAATCTTTGAAAGTATAACTTATTTCTAGTCCAGCAAATGATAGAGCCATTGCATGGTAGAGATAGTGAATAATTTTGCTGACACTTAAAGCGGTTTCCTTCTGGTGTAATTTTGGAAGACCTCGAGCCTTATATATATATATATATATATATATATATATATATACAGAGGGAGAGAGAGAGTAGTTGGGTTAGATACTACTATCCGCGGCCAACGCGACTTGAGTATATTTATAGAATATTTCATAATAAACAGTTTATGAATGACTAGGCAAAATTTCCCTGGAAGCACACGACCGGTTTCGCGGTTCTTGTCGCTGGTCAGGTATGCGGTTGTTTTTTTCACTTCATTCATATACTTAGACCCAGGAAGTGTATTTACGTTACAGGTATATATATAAAGGGATAGAGAGAAATCGTGCAATATGACTCCCATTTTGGAAGTCCATTGTGGTTGCCAATATCATGCATGCATATATATGGCCAAGAGTGGAGAATATTTATTCTAAACTTTATCTCTTTATGCAATGTTCCTAGTTCTCATGGATCACTGTCTAAATTTATTACCTATTGTTTTTCCCATTTATTTAGTTTACGGTTCAAGTCCAATGTCGAAGTAATTCAATTACCGTCCTATAGTTAAGATTTGAATGTAATTGGAGAAATTTCCCCGTGTTAGAAATAGGGATAAGTTAGCTGCCCAGACAACGGTCGTCATTGACCGGGAGTCCAGCATGTATTAGAGGAAACTGGAAAATACTGCTTGACAGTCGACTTGAGGGATCCCATGCAAAACCGACTGACTCCAGTGCCTGAAAATGAACAAGGACAAACAAAACACTGATATAATGATTGCTCAATACAGAGTCATTTTAATATCTACATTCTG